TCATATGAATAAGTTGATGATGGAAACATCAACCTGTTTTACATAATGTTCTTACATTATTTTTCTTTACAATTACCATTTCAAATGTTTTGACCTTTAACTTTATGCATAATGTTTCTTTATTGTTTTACAACTTTTACTAGAACATAAATTTACTACTTTTCTTGTATATTATTTACAGCTTTCATAGAGTAGTTTTACATTGTTTTTTTTTACATTTAATATAATTTACAACTTTCATTTAACGCTTTTCATAATTTAGGTTTATTGTTTTTTTTTAAAATGCTTCTATTTATATGTTTTGATTGAATGTTTTCTTTATGTAGTTTAAGATTTTTATTGCATTTATTTACTTTTCTTGCATCTAAATACACAAAACCCCTTATTTTCCTAGTTTTCACTCAATGAAGATTACACTTTGAACAAAACATATCAATTCTCTTTAAGAACACGACCTAAGCTAGCTTTAACATCGTATTATTTTTAAAACAAAATATTTGATTTCATCTAAACTAGACAACAAGATATAATGGATGAATAATCTAAAAGATTTATATCCTTATGATATGCGATTCTTCATCTCAATTTTTTTCTTTAAAGAATCAATTGTTTTTCTAAGTTGTTTAGAATTAACAACAATATTTGTCATCTACGTAAATAATAATTATGAAATTTTCATTTATGATCTTTTTTTTTATAAATATAAGAATATGATGTGATCATTTTTGTTTCCTTCTTTTGAAACAAAATACTCAACCATGCCTCCTTATTATTTAAACCACAAATAGACTTATTCAACTTAATTGAATAAACCTCCATAGAGTTTGTATTGTTGGACAAATTAAATCATTCAAAGAGTCTTGTATAAATAATATTTTAAAGATAATAGTAAGTAGGTTGCACCAATATCCATTAAATGTAAATTGAGTCATTAATATATATTTATCTAATGTAACATTTTTTTCACACTAAATTTTCATCATGTCGGGTAAAGACATTTTGTATATATAAATATAGTTTACATTACTATTTTTTTTTATACAAGGTAAGTAAAAGAAGAAAGAATTTTATTTATTTTTTATTCTTTCTATCCTTACCACTATTACACAGGTATTTACATTGTTGATGAGAACAAGTTAATTAAATGATTATGATGAATGATATAGGACATGTAGAAAGTGACCATTGTTAATCCATCTAAAATGATGAGAATTTTCATGTCAGATGCAAATGTCAAAACTAGTAATGTCATCTCTAAAAAAATAACTGATTTGTCACTAATATTTGTATTCCAAGTAGTCCATAAAAAAAAAAAAAGTGACCATGTTTGCAGAAAATGGATTTGGAGTGTTTGACACATCTATCTACTTAAATTGGTATTTCAGTATAAGATGCACAAGAAGTTATAAAAAAGGAAATGAGAACAATTATCATTTAAAATAATACAATTTTATATTGCTATATAAAATCTACTTTTCAACTCCATCATCATGGTCCATTTATTTTATATTATGAAGATTTGAATTAAATTTGTATTGATAAGTCAGGATAAATGAACTAAATTTTAATAATTTTTTAAGTGATATTTACTCATTTTAATTCTCAAGGTCCAACCACCATCTACAATATTATCAAATATTCATAAATAAATATTATTATTTAAAAATAATAAAATAATATAAATATAAATTAATAAACAAATATATGTACATAATCGAAGATAAATAAAATAAGAATAGTATGTAATTGAAGATAAAATAAATAAATATAATAAAATCAATGCGTAATTGGAGATAAAATAAATAAATATAATAAAAGTACGTAACTGAAAATAAATAAAATATAACAAAATAAATAAAATAAGACTAGAAACACCTCACTCCACAATCATTAAAAATAAAATAAATTAAATAATAAATGCCTGCTCCTCCTACCTTAATAATTACATATGATATACCAAAATTTTATAAAATTGATTTATGTATATCTCTTCCCCTTCTCTCCTTCCTTTCTTCTTTCCCTATTTCTCTTTTCTCCTTCACCCTCTCCCATTTTTCACCTTGATCCCCTTGATATACTCATATTTTCAATATTTTTTTACTTCATTAAATACACCTTATCTTCCTTATATTATATTATTTTGTTTACCATATCCTTATTTTTTTATTAGTATATATATATATATATATATATATATATATATATATAGATATTATTATTTAAGATATATATATATATATATATATATATATATATATATATGTATATTTAAATAATAATTGTTGAAAGTCCCACGTCGCCTACCCCATGTCATTTGGTATGGTTTAAATACATGTTAGACTACACATATTGTCAATTGATTTTATGTTGGAACCTTAACATGGTATCGAGCCAAAACCTAACATCTTTCCAGGTTATTGTCATTGGCCAAAAGTTGTCCTTTGGTTGGGTCAAAAGTACCCTTTGCTGCCTAATATCTTTCCAGGTTATTGTCATTGGCCAAAAATTGCCCTTTAGTTGGGTCCGTGAGGCTTCGTTAAAGGGGGTGTATTAAAAGTCCCACATCGCTACTCCGCCAATTGGTTTTATGTTGGAACCTTAATAATTTATGTTTTAATTAATAATGTTTTTTCCTTTTACTAATAATAATTTAATATATATATATATATATATATATATTAATAAATAGGTTTTTTTAGTATAAACTATTTAAATTATCCAAAAATATTATAATTTAATACATTGTATTATCATAAGTAATATAGAATCAATTTTAGACATTTTATATGATTTTATAAGTTTATTTTGGTATATGAACATAAACTATCATCAATTCTAAGAAACATACAACACTCATTAAAATTAAGAGATATAATTTTACCATCATTATCTAATAAATTTTTTTAAAGGAATTCTTATCGTTGATTGAGAATAAGTAACATTCAGATCTATGAATCAAATTTGTCATCACATAGATGTATTGATTCACAAATATCACCTTGATCAATTTCAAAAAATATAATAGATTATTATTTAATTTTTTTGATAATGATCTTATTATCAACTTTCTTTATAAATATAAATATGTACTACACAAGAAATCATTAGATTGCATAATCTTATAATTTTAAGTAAATATCCAAATAAACTTTAACTATTTTTTCATCACAATAAATATAGAATGGTTCAATAAATCATATTAAATAACAAATTTATTTCGATCCATAATTAGTTTACAATGAAATATATTTCAATTGTATTAATATACGTATAATTCAAACCAAAAGTAAAATACATTTTAATATACTTATTTTTTGCATTTGATGGCTCATTCCATTCAATTATGAAAAGGACTAATAGAGTAAGACATAAAAAACATGTATCATTATTTTAAATATAAGCATGTGATACATTATCTTTTATTTAATATTATAATAAAGAATATCTCATAGTTCTTATATTACAAACAAGGTAATCAATTATTTCACGTGATTCTTTGTAGACTACAACAAGATGTTTTGGAATACAACAATACCAATAATTTTTATTACCACAATAATAATATATATTTATTTTTTTCCATCCTTTTCTTTTCTTATTGTATCACTTTTTGATAAATGTGTATTTTCAAAAATAATTTGTAACCATATTTACGACCATGATAATTAACATGATCAATAACACATTCTAGATCAAGATAAATGCCACAACCATAACTGTAACCCAAAAAAAAAAAATGAACAAAATATTTTCAAATTCACTTTTGGGAATTCAATAGATCAAGTTGAGTGTCCCATGAGTCTTTCATAAAAAAAAACTTATTATTTTGTTCATCAAATTCAAGTTTTGTAAGCGTTGAAATGTTCACAATTATAAAAAAAATTATTATATTAAATTAATAATAATTACATTATATATTGCAAAAACCTCCTTGGACCTAACCCTAGTTTTTTTTTTCTGAATTAATTCATCTCAAGTTAAGTCTTGGTAGGTTTGGATCCTGATAATCTAACATTATATATATTAAACTAGTTTGATTCTCATTTGTGAGATTTATGGTAAGAACTCTTAATTATGTACAGAATTCCTAGTATTACATCACTCACCAGACTAGTAGTCTCATGACACCCTTAGGATTGGGCACTACACAACCTCTTAATCTCGAGACAAAGACACTGAGACTTAAAATCTTGTAAAAAATGGTCATAATATCGATAACGTTTATCATAACACATCTAACATCAACATCAAATAGGATCACAAATTGGGTCAGACACAACCACTTAACGATCAAGTCGAATAAGACCATGTAGTGGATCTCAATTTGATAGATCTCATAGGATCTCAATGTGATAGATCTTATAAGATCTTGTATTGGGTCAATATCAACCATGTCTCAAATTTCATTAAAGGATCTCTTGTGGTGTGTCATGCACCTCATAGGATCGCTTGCGGCGGATCTCATATCGGGTCATATCCCATATCTCAAATCTCAATAAAAGATCTTTTGTGGCGTTCCATGGACCTCATATAGTCTCTTCTGGGGAATCTCATGGGATCTCATATTGGGTCAATATCGACCATGCCTCGAATCTCATTAAAAGATTTCTTTAGACGTATCATAGACCTCGTAAGGTCTCTTGCGACGAATTTTATGGGATCTCATATAGGGTTTGTATTGACCATGCCTCATATCTTATTAAAAGATCTCGTGTTGTATCATGGACCTCATAGGGTCTCTTGCAACAAATCTCATATTAGGTCTCGAGTAAATGGGCCTCACAGGCACTCGAATTGATAAGATATAGCCATGGTGTTGTGTATTTAGTCAAATCCTTTTATTCGAAAACCTTTGGAGGAAAAACCTGGGATGAGAAAATCTCCCAAAAACGAAAATACAAATTATTTCATTAAAGAACAAAAGCACAATTATTTAATCAAACAAGATTTACCTGAAGTAAAAATGACATCCATACAACTTTGAATTGCATTTCAATGTACTAGACATCCCTTCCAAATACCTTGCTCTCTCCCATTGTTCTCTCCCACCCAATGATGATATTCATTTGGATGATTATGGTATTCCATGAGTCGGAGAGATTCTTGAAAAGGGAGTAGTTGTCATAGAGAGATCACATGAGGTCAGTATCTTGGAGATCACACTAGATAGGTCAACCATAGTGAGATCACATGAGGTTATCACTTTTGAGATCATATTGATCTAGTTAACCAAAGGGAGATTAAAGAAGATTGGAGATCTTATTGAACAGGTCAGTCATAGAGAGATCACATGAGGTCGTCATTTTGGAGATCCTATTAATTAGGTCAACCAAGGGGAGATTAGAAGAGGTTGGAGATTCTACTAGACAAGTCAACCATAGAAAGATTACATGAGGTCATTATTTTAGAGATCCTATTGATCAAGTCAGCCAAGGGGGATATTAGAGGAGGTTGGAGTAAGACTTGGTTTTCTACAAAGTCTAGCCATTGACAAACGCTATCTCCAACACTGTATCGGACACACTACGACATTAATGCTTGGGAGCAGCGTCCCTGATTACTTAAAATGGCCAAAAGTTAGATCTTGGCAAGGAAACATGAATTGGCCAAAAAGGCTTCCCATGCTTCCTCTTTTATTCCCCTTATGAAAGCCAATATTGCGAACACTAGCAAAGTTTGTATTTCACTATGAAGGAGATGTTGGGAGTGATTGGCAGAGCATATTTTGTTTTGTAATAGGAAACATTTTACCTTTTGCAACAGACGGTGCCAAATATTCTAGCCAAAAATAGTCAAAACTTTTTGGGTAAAAACTTGTCTTAGACCTAACCCTAAAAGTTCCTTTTATTGAGTTAATTTATCTCGAATTAAGTCCTAGTGAGCTTGAACCTCAATAATCTAATATTATGTACATTAAAATGACTTGATTCTTGCAGTGTGGGATTTGTGGTAACAACTCTAATTATGGGTAGGATTCTCGGGGTTATGCGATCTTTGTCCCCTGAAGGCTCACTCAGCAGACTAGTCGTCCCATGACCAACCACTAGAATCGAGAAGAGACTAAGATCAGTAGTTGGACACTACACAACCCAAAAGATACAACTTAAGAATTATAGACATTTAAATAATATAAATAATACTAAAAACTAATAAAACCAATCAAGTCAAAAGACTGTCAATAATAATTCATAACAAAAAAAATCAATACTTGATTAGAAATGTGACAACTTGAGTAATTTTGGATCTTTTTCATATGGCTAAGATACGAGGGAATATAACAAAAATACGAGCCTGTTGAATGTAAAGTGTAAGCAGTATACTCCAATGAAAGTGAGCTTGAAAGCAAAATTTTAACAATCAACCAACGATGGGAGTATGTTTGGGAATGGGCTTTGTTTTTAAAAGAAATTTATGCCAGAGATGTTAAAAATTATATTGATAAATGAATTCCGTTTTTGGAAAGTCATAAAATATGAATTTATAATATTTTAAAATCATTCTGATTCAAGCTGTAAACAAGTACAAATTCTCTCTAAATTGGTTTGAGGAAATTGATTTCTAGATCAAATAAATTCAACTCCTATTTCAGTGAGTACAAATTCAAAGTAAGTGAAATTTAAATCCTAGCAATTCCATTCTATTTTTCAGTTCCCATCTAACTTTCTAGCCACGCAATTTTCACCTCCATAAACCACACCCTATCAGTCCACAATTTATCAATGCAAACATCACAAATCAGCCAAAAAAGGGTAATAATATTCAGAAAAGTGATAATTTAGGAAACGCACCCTCCAAGAAGACAGATGCATGCACTGATGGATAGTGCATAGTCCAGGTACTGTAAGTGCTACATTTTATGAGTCTCAGATTCAGATCGGTGAGTATTACCTCTATCTACAAATTTATAGGCACTTTCAAACCATCGTGAGCTAGCTGTACCGATAGTCCTTCCCTGTGCACAATTATTAAGAATCAACATTGTGCCAAAATTCTCAATTGATAGGATAGGTGATACAAATTTCTAGAATATTATAGAAAATATATTTGACAACTTTAAGAAAAATCTATAAAACTATAAATAAGATAATTATTCTAGAAATGTATGGAAGTAAAATATGATTCTAGAAATTGCAACTCTTGATAATTCTAGCATTAAAAAAATTCAAAATTATTTAGAATATTGTAGACTAACTTGGAAGCAGTGGATAAAAAGCCTATAAACAGGCAATGCCACTTGTGTAGTATATGTCAAAAATCAATACAAACTACTCTATATTTGCTTTCAGGATATACCTTCTTTCTAAGCTCATTGCTAATCAACAACTAACAATAACATACTATTACCGATTACAAACTTCAAAGGTAATAGTTGAACAACATTCACATAGTAGAATGAGTGTTATGAATCAAAATATTACCAATTATATTTTTAGCAGTTATTTTTTACAAATTTGACACAATGGAAATAAGTATACTACCTTCTAGACCACTCCATTAAAAAATCATTGTCCTTGTAGTAATCAAACTCGTGAGTCATTCCAATCAATAGCGTTTGCTTTGGACATAACCTCTTCACAGTTTCAAGAGCCTGTAAAATTACAATGAGGTTTCACCATCAAGAACCTAACTAACTATTATATTTAAAACTAATTAATATTAAGTAAAGTTGTCGAATAAATATATAAGTCGCATTCCAATAATTAAGGCAAATGATATGCAACTTCCCAACACTGTTCCTACACAGATGCCTGACAGAACAAGCGAGCCTATCAGAATTGGTAATTATCAAGATGAGTTATAGGCTCCAATACCACATTAGATTTTATCTTAAAATCATTCCAATAATTCAGAGAGCCAATGTTAGACTTTCCAACAAAAATATGTCTAGACATAATTACTTTTAAAACGGCAGAACTAACCTGTGGAAGGCAAAAGTGAACATTATGTGATCCAGTCTGTAGAAACATAAAGAGGAATTGTCATGAAGGAAACGACTATCTTTGAGAAAATAAAGAAAAAAGAAGAAGGTGAAAATATGTATCAGAAAAGGCAAGACCATACAATCAATCAAATAAGGTAAAGCTTCAAAATCATGTGTACTCTCGCCAGTATTAAAATATGAACCACAAAAATAAGTCAAAATGAAGTCAACCAGATGAGCATTTCTTAGAAAATTACAGAAATGATGATCCTGCATTATTTATCAAAAAGGAACTAGGAATTTGGTAGACCCGTAGAATCTGATGTGAGGGATCAGTCGCGTGATCGACGTTCAATTTGGTCCACTATATGAATAGTATATCTAGGAGGAAGAAGCCTCACACAGCAAGCAATGCATTTAGACAACTAATGATAATTCTGGCAGCATTGTCTCGAAAAGGACTACCAATGGAGGTTTATGACTGTAGAGATTTTTTACCATAAAGGAAGTTGAGCAAAGTGTTTCTGAATTAAGTGTCATAGTCTGAAAACAACTCAGATGTCGGCTTTCAGGATGGTGATATGATAGGGACTTAGGTATTATGGGATGCCTAAGTCTCATATTGAATAGTATAAGATGTTTGATGGAGTATTTAAGTGTCTGATTCCCGTTAATAACTAGCTTATAAGGGTGGTTCGCCAAGTGCTTGGTGCTTATCATGTACCCATCATTCCATTCTTGAATAATACAATTTATCTTTTCAGTTGTTCTTCCTTCTCTCTTAGTAAATTCCCATTCCAGTTTTCACACTTTGTTATCCACGTTTTCAACAAGTGTTCTATTTCTTTGCATTTCTCTTTTAAAACATTTTCCTTCCATGAATCTCAAAGTGATTATGTCAATGATAACATGTTTTAAACAAGTGTTCTATTTCTTTGCACTTCTCTCTTAAAACATTTTCCTTCCATGAATCTCAAAGTGATTATGGCAATGATAAGGATCAAAATAAAGTTTGTCCAAAGGTAAAAAACACTAAAAACACATTTTTCCCAAAATTTTAACTGTTACATGCAATAGATTTTATGTTACTGTACAAAATTAACAACGGATAGAAACGGGATTTATTTAAAAATTAAGGAAATGCTCACGTGGTCACAAATTTCAACGCAATTGGTCTATTCAATGTGTTTACTAATCATATTAATTTTTTCGTAGATACCATTGAACAAGATGTTTTGCTTGTCTTGTATTAGAAAAGTAATGGAAAAGCTTACTCTATGAAAAAGGACGAAATAAAAAATTTGTAAAACAATTTTTACACTACAAACACAGGCAGACTGAGAGACCAACAAGAATTAATGCAAGCTCTGACCTTTTTCAACGAATCCAATATAAGAAGATCCAACTGTCCAGCCCCACTTTTCGAAATGACTGTAGAAAAATGACATTTTGCTGTCAGGAAGCATACTTCTGCTAAGGGTTTTATAATGATGTATAAATGCTTAAAACATTTCTAGATATGCCAGCTGCCTTCCTATTGTTTCAATGCGGAGACAAGAATCTACAAATTCAAGGAATTAGCAGCTCTATGACTTTGTTTGTCATTAAGTAAATAATGCTTACTACTGCTTCTTCAGATTATATAACATCATAAAAACATCAAGGTTAATTTTTCAGGTCTGAAAACTAAATTCTGGCTGATCTTTGGTGTATAAATCATATTGAAATAGTAATTGTGATAGGCAAGGAAAACATGAGGAGGTCTGGAAAGTTTATTTTAGAAGAAAAAGTAAAGGAGGCGGTGGAAAAGTTGGTGGGTGCAGTGCTGTCAGTTGAGAGTGGGTCTATATAATTAGACTAATTTGATCCTTTGAGGGACATGTCTTTTTAGACATTGGAATTGTAAACGAGAGTTAACTCGTGTAAAAGGAGAGAGCTCCATTGTATGCATTTTTTCTATTTTTTCCAGTAATAAAGAAAGAGCGAAAACCATTTCCAATCTCTGGAGCTTTGGGTTTCTATTTTTTTCGTCTATTTCTTTTATCTTTTATTCGAGTATCCTATCAAATTGGTCCATCCCGCCAGATCAAATCAAGGGAATATCATGGAGAGTCATATAAGCACCTCGGAGAAATGAGCTGATGAACAAGGAAAAGCAGTGGCAGGATTAAAAATGGATATGTCCATTGTTAAAGATAGTTTGTCAGATAATGAAAGAGTTTCTTCGAGAAATCAAGAAAGAAGGAGATAAAACGTCCAAAGGGGGAGAAAATTCGGTCAATGGAAATGATAGGAGGGAGGAAAGATTGGTGCAAGGGAACATAACAGATGAAGAGGGGCCTGAAACTCTAAGACCTTGGACAAAGAGGGTCGAACTGCCTACTTTTGAAGGTAATCTAGGATGGATAGTTCGAGCGAAAAAATTGCAGAATGCCAATCAAGAGGAAAAATTACGATTGACTATTATCAAGATGGAAGGTAACACTCACCATTGGTTTAAGTTTTGGCATTAGAAGAACAAGAACCCATCTTGGGAGGAATTTACAATGGCTTTGAGTAGAAGATCCGGAGGCAAAGAACACAACACTGTCTATGAAAAATTAATAGCTATACAACAACATGAAAAAGTTGAAGACTATATGCAAGAATTCAAATTATTAGTGTCGCAAGTACCTCAAACTTCTGAAGATCAAAAGTTGGGGTATTTCTTTGTCGGGCTGCAACCAAGTATTTGGAATCAGATTCGTCCACACGATCCTAAGGATCTGATAAGAGCTATGGAGATCACTCATGATGTAGAAGAAGCTATGCAAGGGTCAAGTCATATTGGAGGATCTTTTTTGAGAAATAATGCATCTAATTTCCGGTACCAAGGAGAAAGTGCGATGGTATCACGAGCTGAAACTATCAAGAACCACAGTATTTCTAATGGCATGGAGAGCACTGCAAGGATGAGGGAACTCACCCAAGGAGCAAGAGCGGGAGGTATTATGGGTTTTAGAAATAGGGGAACATGAAATTTGCCATAGCCTGAATATGCTAGAAGAAGGGAAGAGGGAAGGTGTTTTCATTGCGGAGGGGCTTATAGTCCTGGTCACAAGTGTCCAGAAAAAAATTTAAGAGTGGTCATATTAGCCCAAGATGAAAAAATGGGTGAAATGATGGATAATAGGCTAAGTGAAGTGGGGGAACTGTTGGAGAAGAATTGGGAGGAATATATTGATCAAGATTGTTAATATTTGGACTTATCTGTTTTCTCTGCAGGAGGCATGACCCAATCACACACCATGAAGATGTAGGGAAAAGTAAGAGGAAGATCCGTGTTGGTGTTGATTGATAGTGGGGCGACTCACAACTTTATTTCATCAAAGTTGGTGTGGTTACTTGATCTACCAATGGAATCTACTCCACATTATGGTGTCAGATTGGGGGATGGATACAAAAAGCAAATACAAGGATGTTGTAAGGATATAGAAGTGGAGTTGGAAGACTACAAGATCAAGGAGACATTTTTCTTGTTTGAACTTGGAGTAGATGTAATTTTGGGTGTAACTTGGTTGGCAACATTAGGAGATGTTAAGGTGAATTGGAAGACTTTATCCATGAAGTTCTGCACTTTAGGCCGACCAGTCAAAATTAAAGGAGACCCCACTTTGGCAAAAACATTGGTGACCCCACAAGCTTTGAGAAAAGAGTCCAAAATTAAAGTGGTTTCTATTATATTGGAGATATAAAATGTTGATATTGTGGTAGTAGATGACAAAAACAACCACTTAACTAAGAAGCAGAAAAAAGAGCTAGGAATGGTTTTAAAAGATTGTGAAGAAATCTTCAACAAACCTAAAGATCTGCCACCACATAGGGATGTTGATCATAAAATCCCCATCAAATCTAGAGTGGATCTAGTGAATGTAAGACCCTTTAGATATCCTTTGGTGTTGAAAACTGAAACAGAAAAACAAGTGGAAGAAATGTTAAAGTCTGGGATCATAAGTCCTAGCAACAACCCGTATTCAAGTCCTGTCATTTTAGTTAAAAAGGATGGAAGTTGGGGATTTTGTATGGATTATCGTGCCTTGAACAAAGCTATTATTCTAGATAAGTTTCTTATACCAATAATAGAAGAATTATTGGATGAGCTATATGGAGCACAATTGTTTTCAAAAGTAGATTTGAGAGCGGGTTATCATCAAATCCGTATGCATGAACTAGATATTCAGAAGATGGCTTTCCGAACTCACCATGGACATTACGAATCTTTAGTGATGCCATTTGGATTAACATATGCCCCATCAACTTTGCATACGCCATGAACATGATAATGCAACCATATCTCTGAAAGTTTGTCTTGGTTTTCTTTGATGATATTTTAATCTACAGCAAAACTTGGGAAGAACATTTGACATAGCTAAAATTGGTCTTGCAAACTTTACAACAACACCAATTTTATGCTAATTGGAAAAAATGTGAATTCAGACAACTTCAAATTCACTATTTAGGTCATGTTATTTCCAGCAAGGGGGTAGAAATGGACCCTCAAAAGATTTCGGCAATCCTTCAATGGCCTATCCCCAAAACTATAAAAGCTTTGAGAGGGTTTTTGGGACTTACTGGATATTATCGAAGGTTTATTTATAATTATGGGAAGATCGCTAGACCTTTGACACAATTGCTCAAAAAGGGGAATTTTCGGTGGATAGAGGAAAGCTAGTTAGCAATGCAACAACTGCTAAAGGAAATCACTACAACCCCTATTTTGTCCTTACCTAATTTTAACCAACCTTTCTGCATAGAATATGATGCTTCCAGAAAAGGGATCTGTGCTGATTTGTCACAAAATAAGAGGCCCATAGCGTTTTTCAGCAAAACTTTGGCTGACTCCTCCTTAACTAAGTCAATTTACGAGAAGGAACTAATGGCTTTGGTGTTAGCCATTCAACACTGGAGACTATACCTCTTGGGTTAGGAATTTGTTGTTTACACCGTTCAGAAAAGTTTGAGGTATTTACTGGAACAATGGATAACTACTCAAAATCAACAAAATTGGTTGGCGAAATTGTTGGGTTATGAATTTGAGATAGTATATAAAGTGGGAGCAGCTAACAAGGTGGTTGATGCTTTGTCGCGGAAATTTGAAGATTCAAGTGAGGAAGAACCAAAGTTGGGTGTGTTATCTAAGCCTTTTTGGCTGGAAGTGCAGTTGATTGAAACCAAAGTTCAACAAGACCCGGTTTTAAAGAAAATTTGTGAAGACTTGCAGAGCAACCCAAATTTGCATGGTCATTATACTCTCGACCACGACCGGTTACACTATAAAGGTAGATTGTTTCTGTCTGCAAATTCAAAATGGATATCAACGTTGCTACATGAATATCACACAACACCTATGGGGGGACACTTCGGAATTTTTCGCACCTATAGACGCATAGCACAGTCTGTTTACTGGATTGGCATGAAAAAAATGATAACAAACTTTGTTGCTGCATGCCCTGTTTGTCAGCAGAATAAATACCAAGCATCTTCTCCACAAGGTCTTCTATAACTGCTTCCCATTCCCATGGCAGTATGGAAAGATATAAGCATGAATTTCATAACAAACCTCCCTAAATCTTGTGGTTATGATACTATATTCGTTGTAGTGGATCGACTTAGTAAATATGATCATTTCATCCCCATCAAACTCCCCTATTCAGCAAGATTTATTGCCAAAATTTTGTTAAAGTAGTTAAACTACATAGTATTCCATCTTCTATTGTTAGTGATAGAGATCCCACCTTCCTAAGCTTGTTTTGGAAGGAGATATTTAGATTACTGGGAACCAAACTATAAAATGAGTATAGCATACCATCCGGAAACTGATGGCCAATCCAAGGTTCTAAACAGGATTCTGAAAACCTATTTGTGATGTTTCAGTTCTGAACAACCTAAGACGTGGGTTAATTTCATTCCTTGGGCAGAATATTGGTACAACACCAATTTCCAAGGGGTTGCCAAATGTACCACATTTGAAGTGGTGTATGGTAGGGCTCCACGTTCCTTAGCTAGACTTGTACCAGGAGAAACTGCAATTGAAGAAGTAGCACAAAATTTGATGACAAGAGATGAAGCTCTCAGGCAGCTGAAATTTCATTTAGAAAGAGCTCAAGGACAAATGGCTAAATTTGCTAATCGACACAAGATGTCAAAGATCAAAGTTGGTGATTGGGTATATTTGAAAATTCAACCCCATAGGCAAGTATCCATGTCCACAAGACTACACCCAAAGTTGTCTACACGTTTTTATGCCCCCATACCTTGTCCTCAATCAAGTGGGACCTGCAACTTACAAATTGCAACTTCCTGAGACTTCCCAAATACACCCCATTTTCCATGCCTCTCAATTAAAATTAGCGATTGGAAATCATCATGTGGAGGCAGAGCTGCTAGTTGATCTTCAGGGCCAAGCTGGGTTTGTTTTCTAACCCTGATTCTGGATAGCAGAATTGTTCAGCAACAGGATGAACAAGTTCAACAAGTATTAGTAACGTGGGAAGATATTTCAACAATACGCGACCAGTTTCCTGAATTCAACCTTGAGGACAAGGTTGTTTTAGAGGCAACGATAGGCAAGGAAAAAATGAAGGGGTCTAGAAAGTTTATTATAGAAGAAAAAATAAAGGAAGCGCTGGAAAAGTTAGTGGGTGTGGTGCTGTCAGTTGAGAGTGGGTCTATATAATTAGACTAATTTGATCCTTTGAGGGACACGTTTTCTTAGAAATTGGAATTGGAAACGAGTGTTAGCTCATGTGAAAGGAGAGAGCTCCTTTGTATGCATTTTTTTCTGTTTCTTCCAGCAATAAAGAAAGAGCGAACACCATTTCCAATCTCTGGAGCTTTGGGTTTCTGTTTTTTTTTTTTTTGTCTATTTCTTTTATCTTTTGTTCGAGTATCCTATCAAATTGTGTTATTTCTTATAACCTTGTGGTTAATATCACATTTTCCCTCTAATAGAGAACATTTGGTATAGAAGGTAGAAGTAGATGGTGATATAGAGAACATTAAGTTCCGCAATGAAGGAGTGCAGACGCCTCCTCATCAAAGAATAGCAGGGTAATACTGATCATAATAGGAATCAAAGGTATTTCCCAGAGTCTTTCAAGGACGTAAATTATAATACCTCAATATTTTCACTCACTAATGGTCGCTGGCCTTTTGTTTACAATAAAGACATGACAATGTGACATCTTGCATATACAACACAAAAAGACAGCCGGAAAAGTTTTCACCTTCTCAATTTAAACAAATTAACAGACAGATAAATAATCACTTAGCTTATTGCAAATGAATGATCTAACTTTAAAGTTTGGTCAAAGTGAAGAACATGACACATCCAAGGAGGAAGATGATATCAAAACTCACCATACTCTGTACTAGCCGGAATCCGTGAAACATCAGAAATATAAGCCACCCTATCTCTATTACCAAAAAGGAAACCCAGACAGATATAATCCTCTCCATGCATTACCTACATCCAGAAATGTAGTCTGTAAGTCCATCTAATATAATGTAAAAGGGGTATTGCATTCCTACCATCAATGAAAAAATTTTCAGTAATTAACTGGCAAAGGAATCAATTTTAAGCCCGACGCAAAAAATGGTTGATTACAATCTTCAGCAATTATGTTCCAGCAAAACTGAGATACTCTTCGTATTTCTTGTCCTTCTTTCTGTCTTTTCTGAACCAAATAAGGAAAGACCTTTTCCAGGCTGTTGCAAATGTATAAACAAGAAATCAACTAACTAGAACCAAAATGCATCCACAAAATCAAGAGAAAGGGGAAAAATGCTGACATAAGATTTGCACTGTAATCAGAAATATTTTATAAGCATTCAAGTACGCAAATATGATTGTTGGGATGTAGACACCAATAGAGTGAGTACCTTTTTTTTTTTTGCAGAGGCAGAGTACCTTTTAACTTACTGACCACAAAGGGATGCAACTTTTTGATTATTAGTATTATTAATGACTTTTGCATCAATATACTATGCAGCCAAAAACTGTGTTCATCAATATCCCGTAAAAAAACTAAAAGTTAATCTAGTGTGTGAATGCTTCCTTAGAGCTCCCTACTTTCTCCCAGTACAGCAAAATATACTTACACGGCACCTATGTTCCCACTTTGGTGTTTTCTACGCCAATTTTCCTACAAACCTAGGATATTTGACCAGATCACATCAAAGAAAAGGTAAAGTTACAAGAGTTTACCTATCCATTGAGCGCTGAGACAAGTAAACTGGGGTGGGATCAATATCATTTGTAGGACTAAATGGCTGCACAGCACGTATATCATCCAATCCAAGGATTGCATCGGCATGGTCATGAGTCAAAACAATCTGCAATTCAAGCACGAGTTAATTAATGTATTACACTAGGGAACTATCACCAAATCAAGCTCCTTCTGCAACAAAATAAGGCACCTAACTGAACACATACAAAGTTAGATTCATATTGAATAAAAAAATTTGAAAATTTGAACCCAAAAAAAAAAAAAAAAAAAAAAAAAAAAAAATATATATATATATATATATATATATATATATATATATATATATATATTGTAAACAAAGAAGGGGAAGTTGAGTGACTAACAGAATCTACTCTGGGAATGCGATGGTGAACAAACCACCTAAGTACAGCCTCCCTGAAGGTCTTGCCAACATCAATCAATATATATTTGTGAGTGGCATCAGTTTGAGAATAATATTTGATTAACAGAGAGGTATTGCACCTGCAAAGTCAAGTCCATAATAGATATAATGAAAGACATCGATTCAGTACCTAGAATTGAGTTTAAGTTCTATGAATTGCTCGTGTAAAGAGTTCTACCCCATCTACCATTCAGTAATCAAGGTTGACATAACTTAGAATGTAAGTAGTTGGTATGACATTGAGAGGGAAGAAGTGAGGTACCTGTAGTTAGGGTTGGAGTGAGGTGGGAGGGAGAGTGATTGAGTGCAAACAGGACATGGAGTATCTGAAGGGTTGATGAGGCAACTCAGGGATGGAACCGATCCCGAACTTCCCGTTCCCAGAAAAATCAATGCTGAGCCCATTTCCATCGTCATTACCACAACACAATACAAAGGAAAAATTGAAACGTTTGGAGAAAGACTAACAGTTGACTAGTGGTGTAGTGTAGGAGGGAATAGTCTAACAAATAATCCTCCACCTCCTAAGCTTTCTGTTTTACCACTCAGAATTAAATTCAAATAGAAAGAAATTTGGGCATTTATATCAAACTCACACATAACAGAATTATTACACTGTTTAATAGATGAAACTTTATTTTTCGACAAGATAAATTTAAGTGGGATAATAATTGTCTTTTGGAAAAAAAAAAACTAATAGTGTCTTTCTAAACTAAACTTTATTTAAAAGTATGTATATTTATCTTTGAATTGTAAGATGGTTTTACTTCACTAAATCTTCGAATTATTTTCTTATATCTGTTTTTAAAACCGAATTCGATCACTAATTAAATTTAATAAATATATTATAATAAAAAAAAATTATACAAAAAAATCGAAATATCATTATAATAATAACAAAAATATCATGATGAAATAAAAAATATTATATTTTTACTAAAAAAATTATAAAAATTAAAAAATTTGATCTTAATTTTTTTATAAAATTATTTAATCTAAAAACTCAACTAATTTTGTACTATTTTTATACTAATTAAATAAAAATCTAATTATTTAAAAATAATAAACTAATTTTGAGACCAGTTTCGCTTTATCCATCTTTTCCATTTTCAAAAGAGTGATTGTAGGTACTTGCCCTTATTTCCCAATCTGGCCACATCAATTGTATTAGTGTGAATTCGGATTTGGGGCAAATGAATTCACGCTGCCTTTTGTTTTCGACATTATAAAAAGTATTCTCAATTTTAAAGTTTTATTAATTTGTAATAATTTAAATTATAAATATTATGTGTATGTAATTATTTGATTATAATATTTGCTTATTAAAAAAAACAATTTAATAAGTTGTAGATGGGTAATATGTTGTAAACCTTGACCTTTGCGAGAGAAAAAAATAATCAATCTTATAAATAATATATTTTAAAAAAAATATTTATCATTTTATTTATTTAATTTAATTTTTCTAATTAAAAATATTAAATAAAATTTAATAAAAATATATTATTTTTTAAATCAATATTAAAACTAAAAAATATCAATTAATTATTTAAAATTATGATAATGATATACAATTTTATTTTTGATAAATAATTAATTTAAAATTATTTTATTATTATAATAAATTATTTATCTAATTAAAAAATATTAAATATTTATGAGTTGACTTTATTTTTTTATTTAATAATTTAATCTAATTATAATTAGGTTAATTTTTAATATATATTAGTCCGATAAAATAATTTTAAAAAATATTTATTAAAAATAATTACTTTAAAATAAATATTAATTTTTTCTTAATAATTATAATATAACAATAATATTTATCACACCTTAAAATTTATTATATAATATTTTTCAAATATAATATATTGAATTATAATATTTACGAGTATTTTATATATTATATATTTTTAAAAATAATTTAAGACCTATTTTATTACAATTTAATATAATATTTTTAATTAGAAGAAAAAGATAAAGTGAGAAAGGTTAGAGAATGAGAAAGAAATAAAGCAAAATAATTGCATTATATTACATAATTTTATTTTCTATTATCGAAGTTTGTATTTGGTCTAATTGTATAAATAAATTATTTAAGTAATTTTTATTTTAAATATATTATTTATAAGATTGATTATAGAAAAAAAACTTAGAAGTAAAGCTTAGCATGTTAAACCTTCATTTTACAACCACTACAAGAAAAAACACATTTAGCCACCGAAATTAGTGACCAAATTTTTTCAGTCGCAATTAGCGACCGATTTAATTTTTGTCGCAATTAGAGACCGATTTAGTGACCACTTTAATTCCGTCGCAATTAGCGACCGATTTAGTGACCACTTTAATTCGGTCACAATTAGCGACCGATTTAGCAACCAAAATATGATTTGGTTTTCACTTTTTTTATTTAGCGACCGAAATAGCGACCAATATTTTGCGTCGCAAAATTTCGGTCGCTAAATCGGTGGCTATTTCATACATAAATAAAAAAATCATTTAGCGACTGATTTAGCGACCAAATTAAAATCGGTCGCTAATGAGAAAATAATCGATAATTTTATCTGATTTTTGCAATATCGCTCAAGCTAAAATAACATCGCTCGAGCGACGCCACCTGCACAAAATTGGCATTCTCGGGTTGTATTTCGCTTGAGCGACACTGGTCTCGCTTGAGCGATATCTAATGCAAAAATGTGTCAATAAACAAATAAAATATTTATCACTTTTAAGAGCGGTTAATATTTACACCGCTCTTAAAAGTGAACATATAATAAGCGGTTCCAAGTGAGCCGCTATCATATACAACCACATTTTTTTATTCTGATCGATTAGATTTTTAAATGATCGATCATATTTGATAATTTTTTCAAATAATTAATTATAATCGATTAGTTTTCTAAATTATTGATTAGAATTGATTAGTTTTTCAAATAATAGATTATAATTGATTAATTTCGAAATATATATTAAAAAATTATAATTAAAAATATAAATTATTTAAGAATATTAACTATTGTAAAGATAAAGTAGAACATGGGAGGAGATAAGGATGATAATATAATGATAGAACTTACAAAAATGTAGAATTGAGAAGTTTAAAACAAAAAAAATTAAAAAAATAGAGATTTAATTACACTGTTAATAAATTTAAGATAATACTAGTTTTGATTTTTATTTTTAAATATTTATTTCAATTTTTTAAAACGAGAGAAACTATAATTTTAGTTTCTAAATACTCAATTTAAAGAAATAAATTTATTATTATTTAATCTTTTAATTTTAGTATTAAAAATTTAAATTATATTTTATTAAATTAAAATAATTACAATATATTTTTCTACTTTGAGAATGAACAATATAATTAAACTCAAAATTGACAATATTATAATACATTTTTGAACTCTTTTGGATTAATTTTTTTTTCCTAATTTTTGATAAAGTTAATTTTAATATTTAAAAGTATTTAACATTTTGAATTCGAAACGTTTTCTCTAATAGCAAATTTAAAAACATAATATTCAAAAAAATAGTTAATGTAAGTTTTCATTATGATCGATTATATTTTGAAATGATCGATCATAATTGAAATGATATAATAGCGGTTCCACGTTAACCGCTATCTAAAATATATTTTAGATAGTGGTTAAGGTTTAACCGTTATTAGAAGTGCACTTTTAAGAGCGGTTCAAGTGGAACCGCTATCATATACAACCACATTTTTTGATTCTGATCGATTAGATTTTCAAATGATCGATCATATTTGATAATTTTTTCAAATAATTAATTATAATCGATTAGTTTTCTAAATTATTGATTAGAATTGATTAGTTTTTCAAATAATAGATTAATTTCTGAAATATATATTAAAAAATTATAATTAAAAATATAAATTATTTAAGAATATTAACTATTGTAAAGATAAAGTAGAACATGGGAGGAGATGAGGATGATAATATAATTATAGAACTTACAAAAATGTAGAATTGAGAAGTTTAAAACAAAAAAAATTAAAAAAATAGAGATTTAATTACATTGTTAATAAATTTAAGATAATACTAGTTTTGATTTTTATTTTTAAAAATTTATTTCAATTTTTTAAAAGCAGAGAAACTATAATTTTAGTTTCTAAATACTCAATTTAAAGAAATAAATTTATTATTATTTAATCTTTTAATTTTAGTATTAAAAATTTAAATTATATTTTATTAAATTAAAATAATTACAATATATTTTTCTACTTTGAGAATGAACAATATAATTAAACTCAAAATTGACAATATTATAATACATTTTTGAACTCTTTTGGATTAATTATTTTTTCCTAATTTTTGATAAAGTTAATTTTAATATTTAAAAGTATTTAATATTTTGAATTCTGAAACGTTTTCTCTAATAGCAAATTTAAAAACATAATATTCAAAAAAATAGTTAATGTAAGTTTTCATTATGATATAATGAGAAAATAATCGATCATTTTATCTGATTTTTGCAATATCGCTCAAGCGAATTTCACATCGTTCGAGCGACGCCAACTGCTAAGATTGTGAAGTCTCGGGTTGTATTTCGCTTGAACGACACTATACTCGCTCGAGCGACACTATACTCGCTCGAGCGACATCCGATTCAAACATGAGGTCACCCATGTTACATTATCCGACTAACTTTGATCAACGGTTACGCAGGTCAACATTCGCTCAAGCGAAAATAACATCGCTCGAGCGACGCCACCGGCACAAAATTGGCATTCTCGGGTTGTATTTCGCTTGAGCGACACAGGTCTCGCTCGAGCGATATCTGATGAAAAAATGTATCAATAAATAAATAAAATATAGTTAGATAGCGGTTAAGGTTTAACCGCTATTAGATGTTCACTTTTAAGAGCGGTTCAAGTGGAACCGCTATCATATACAACCACATTTTTTTATTATGATCGATTACATTTTCAAATGATCGATCATATTTGAAAATATATAATAACGGTTAAGGTTTAACCGCTATTAGATGTTAACTTTAAGAGCGGTTCCAGTGGAACCGCTATCATATACAACCACATTTTTCATTTTCGTATACATCCCAGTCACGCCACTTATCCCCAAATAACCCTAACTCTCGCGCCTCACTCACCCATTCCTCTTAACCTTGCAAATCCCACGGCCAGTATCTCCTCCTCACTCCCGGCGAGCCCTAGCCCCCTCACTGCACCCCCCAAGTCAGCCCTCACCCTAATCCAACCTCCACCAAACCCCAGTCATCACCACCGCCTCCCTGGCCACCATCGTGGCCATCCCTAAATCTCAACCTAACCTCCACTATTGAACCAGCCGCGCACTAGAGGTGAGTTAGAGGGGTCGCGGGTCAAGCCCTTCGGTTCACATTTTGCTGCTATGTTCTATTTCTTTTATGTCTTTTTA